AACTGAGAAAATTCGCAAATCTGGACTTTCAATCAAAACATTTTTGACAGTCTGGACATTTTTGTCCAGAAGGATCTTCTTTATTGAAAACATTTGTTTTAATATTGGATTCGAACGGTAAAAGGGTTTGTAATACATACCAGCTGACAAATGGATTTCGTGTACAAGTAAAGGTAAGACCATAAACTTTTATTATTTCTAGTTAGAAATAAGCTCAACTAGAATAAATTTTAACAACAAATTAAATATGGGTCCCGTTTGTGTGAAGAATGTTATGAGATATAAAACATAACACATCGTCTGTTAACAGACTATTTGTATTTCTAAATCTGACTGTAAAGGAGTCAGTGCCTCACCAGCTGTCAACCTCACCGCACGTCACTGCGCCACACCTGCCTTAAAAGATCCCCTCTTGGCTTTCCCGATAGCGGTCCTCCGTCCGTGAACCACCACCACGTCGTCAGGACTCCGGCTCCCCGCGGATCCGCAGTCGGTCCTGGATAAGTCCCGCGTGTAGTTCGAGGACCCAGACGGAGCCAGGTGTCCAGAAATGATCCGTAACCTGTACATTTCGACGGAGAAACGCCTGAGTGTTGTCTGCGAGGCGACACAGGTGTCGTTGACCTGCTGTGTTTTGATTCTTGAGCTATTAAACGTCACTTCCGCTGCACTTCCGTTATTCCGTTTTACGGGAAGAAAAGAGGGACAAACTTCCCATCTGCGTTTAGGTTCACGTCAGAAGGAAACGCTTTACTTCTGCTGCGTTAATATATGACTGTGTATACTGCGTTTCTTGGTGCTGGATCGGGTTTGCACTGTAAGGTTGAATGTGCACAGCTCCTGTATGAATGACTGCAGACTAGACCTAAAAATGAATAGGAGGGCAAGAAGGAGCACTGTCACATGAGCAGCAACAATAAAGAATCACCTCTGCAGGACAGGACATTTTAAGAACAAGAGTTTATAATAACTTCTATTGTTGTAAAGTGCATTACGACAACAGGTATTGTTCTACAAACACCGAGACTGAGCTCGACCATAGCAGGTGTCAGTCCTCTGTGGCCAAAGACGTCAGGATTGTTAACTGGGAAGTTTTTTCACTTTAAGTTTTATAATGCATAAATACAAAACATAATAAGCAAGTTATAATAGTGTTTTCAAAAGCTGATTAATTCTGCAGTTAAACACCAACTCTGTGCTACTGCAGCCCTAGTCCCTGCTCTCCTAGATCCTGTTCCTCAGGGACTAATGTCCGTCAGCTGGAACGTCAGCCGGTGATTGGTCTTAAGATTCCAAAATAAAACACTGACCTGCTGATGGCACTGGATGAAAAGCCTGAGGACAGCTGGAGCTGATGCTCAGGGAACATGAAGGTCTGGACCACGTTTCTCCCAGTTCCTCCAGCAGCTGTTGGGACATTTCACTCAGAAACACAAACGTGTCACGGATGAGTCTGGTAAACAGCAGCTGAGACATTTGACCACCATGGAGCGTTTCACGCCTGATGCTCACTGGACTCAGACACAACCTGGGCTAATCGACTGAAGCTTTTATTTCCACATCTGTCAACACAACACACTGATAAGGCCACCGACTCACTGCACATTCTGCTGGGAAATAAAAACATCAAAAATATGTTTCATAATATAGATTCAGATATAAAACTGTTTGTATTAGATTAGACAAGAGCTGCTTCAGACACAGTCACAGAAACATATCTACACAACGGCAACGATACAGGAGCAAGTCAAGGTCAAAACAAAAGCACAGGAGCCACTGGTAGTGTATCTGTAGGAGCCACGTAAGGAACAAAACACACAGACACACCAAACTGCTTTCAGCAAACCTGACACACTGCAGCTGAACAGGTGGGACCTCAGGTGGATGATGGGTGAAATGGCCCTTTAAACCAGACCATTTCATCACAGAAGAAGCCCAGAGTCAGAGTCAGGGAGAGCCAGAGTCAAAGCACCAGATGAAGGTCAGTTTTTCTGAAGGAGTGTATCAAACTAACAGACAGGAGTGTGACGAGCTGCATCCGACTACAGATATAAAAGTTAGAATTCAGCTTCAACAGGGAACACAGGTCAGAAAATAAAAGTCCAGCTTTATTTTAGTGCTTCGTTGTGTGTTCAAGTCCTTCGTCAGTAACAGAAGGAATGTTTCAGCTGTTTGGGAGCAGAGGGTGAAGCTCAGAGCAGGAGACGTGATGTCGGGCTGAACACTGACTTAAGGCAACGACCTGCATCGGCAGCGCCTGGCTGCACGGACTGAAGCGTGCAACACAAACTCCACTTGGAGAAGGTTCCTGTCAAATGCATGTGCACCATGTGTATAAACATTGAATGTACTTTTATTAACTTGGCTCAAAGTGGCACCACGTGGTGATCTTCGATTCTTTGCTCTGAAGCAGAAACAGTCACTGGAGCTATGACGTGTCGGTGAGGATTTCTGCTTTTCTGTTTTACTAAAGCCAAAGAGAATATCTTCGGGTTCTGCTGGTGACTGACATATTTCACTTTCTTCTGGTGTTTCATGAACTAAATGTTCAGTGGATGATAAAGTATGTGTGAAGATGCCACCTTGACTTCTATTGACTGAACTGTTAAAAAAAAGACCAATCAACGATAAAGTCGACGATGAAGGTTCGGGGCTGTCGTTGGGAGACGTGAGGGCTCTGTCTGTTTCTCTGGACTTGGGCCTAAAGTCTGGTGATGTTCTACATTTCTACCGTCATCACACCCCACGAACGTCTCCCACTGACAGACCCCTGTGAGGGTTACAGTCCGACCTCTCGGCTCCACAGAGCTCCACCGGGTCCAGGAACCATTAAACCCAGCAGTGAGCACCCTGCAGCTGCTGTAGGAAACTACAGAACCCCTTTCAAAATAAAACCTACATAATGGTGAGGTGTTCGATAGTTCTTCATGGGATATGTTGATAAGAGCAAAAACTGGATCATGTCAGACTTTTCCTTTCAAGTGTTGCCTCTGGCAACAACACCCAGCTGTAACCCAGGGTTACCCATCCCACTGCTCGGCTCCAGATGTGTTCCCTCCACTTTAAGTGTAGCCAGGACAAACTAGAGCCAACATGGACTCACCTTCACACTTTCAAAATAAAAGTCTAGATGGCAGTGAAGCAGAAATCTCTGTGGCATGCTCCAGGCTCCGGCTCAGGCGTAGAAGATGAGTTCTGGAATCTGGCCTCCCTGCACCCCAGTGCCATTGGTGCTGTCCGAGGAACACTGGAACTGGAAGGTCACTTTCCCACACTGCACCTCGGTCATGCCCTCCTGGCCGAAGTAGCTGAGCTCATTGCCGTCCAGCACCACGCTGGCGGTGTAGAAGGTGTCGGGCTCGATCTGCACCGGGTACTCGAACCAGACAGGAAAGGTGCTGCTGGAGCCGTCTGAGAAGTACTTGATGATCCTCTGGGCCATTGGCACGCCCTGACGCTTCAGCTCAATCTTGGCGCTGTACTCGGCCGACCCGCAGCTGGAGCCGTACAGGCCGAAGCCGGCGATGAAGACACGCTTGTCCACGGCCAACTGGAG